GGGGGAACTGGGAGGGACTGGGAGGGCACTGGGAGGGACTGGGAGGGAACTGGGATAAACTGGGAGGGACTGGGAGGAAACTGAGAGGGAACTGGGAGGGACTGGGAGGAACTGGGGACGAACTGGGAGGGACTGGGATGAACTGAGGGACTGGGGGACTGGGAGGAACTGGGACAAACTGGGAGGGGACTGGGAGGGCACTGGGAGGGACTGGGATGGAACTGGGGAGGGACTGGGAGAAACTGGGAGGGACTGGGAGGGACTGGGAGGGGATTGGGGAGCACTGGGATAAACTGGGAGGGAACTGGGACAAACTGGGAGGGACTGGGAGGGACTGGGAGGGAACTGGGAGGGACTGGGAGGGACTGGGAGGGGACTGGGATAAACTGGGAGGGACTGGGAGGGCACTGGGAGGGAACTGGGACAAACTGGGAGGGAATTGGGACAAACTGGGAGGGAACTGGGAGGGAACTGGGAGGGACTGGGACAAACTGGGAGGGCACTGGGATAAACTGGGAGGGACTGGGAGGGACTGGGAGGAACTGGGACAAACTGGGAGGGGACTGGGAGGGACTGGGAGGGGATTGGGAGCACTGGGAGGAACTGGGAGGGACTGGGAGGGAACTGGGAGGACTGGGAGGGACTGGGAGGGGATTGGGGGAACTGGGATAAACTGGGAGGCACTGGGAGGGAACTGGGAGGGACTGGGAGGGAATTGGAAGGGACTGGGAGGGAACTGGGACAAACTGGGACAAACTGGGACAAACTGGGAGGGACTGGGAGGGACTGGGAGGGGATTGGGATAAACTGGGAGGGAACTGGGACAAACTGGGAGGGACTGGGAGGCACTGGGAGATGATTGGGAGCACTGGGAGGGACTGGGATAAACTGGGAGGGCACTGGGAGGAACTGGGAGGACTGGGAGGGACTGGGAGGAACTGGGAGGGACTGGGAGGGACTGGGAGGGAACTGGGAGGGACTGGGAGGGACTGGGAGGGACTGGGAGGAAACTGGGAGGGAACTGGGATAAACTGGGAGGGCACTGGGAGGAACTGGGACAAACTGAGGACTGGAGGACTGGGAGGGACTGGGAGGGGATTGGGGGAACTGGGAGGAACTGGGAGGGACTGGGAGAACTGGGAGAAACTGGGAGGGACTGGGAGGGACTGGGAGAAACTGGGATAAACTGGGAGGGACTGGGAGGGATTGGGGGGCACTGGGACAAACTGGGAGGGACTGGGGGAACTGGGATAAACTGGGAGGGACTGGGATTGGGGCACTGGGACAAACTGGGAGGGAACTGGGAGGATTGGAAGGGACTGGGAGGACTGGGACAAACTGGGAGGGACTGGGAGGGGATTGGGGGCACTGGGATAAACTGGGAGGGACTGGGGGCACTGGGAGGAACTGGAAGGGACTGGGAGGACTGGGACAAACTGGGAGGGACTGGGAGGGACTGGGAGGGACTGGGAGGGACTGGGAGGATTGGGGGCACTGGGATAAACTGGGAGGGAACTGGGGGACACTGGGAGGGACTGGGACAAACTGGGAGGGACTGGGAGGGACTGGGAGGGATTGAGGGGAACTGGGAGGGAACTGGGAGGGACTGGGATAAACTGGGACGGAACTGGGAGAGAATTGGGGGCACTGGGACAAACTGGGAGGGACTGGGAGGGACTGGGAGGGATTGGGAGGCACTGGGACAAACTGGGAGGGACTGGGAGGACTGGGACAAACTGGGAGGGACTGGGACAAACTGGGAGGGAACTGGGATAAACTGGGAGGGACTGGGACAAACTGGGAGGGAACTGGGATAAACTGAGGACTGGGAGGACTGGACTTTTGGGGGTGGGGAGGGGCCTTTTGGGGTGGGGAGGGCCTTTGGGGTGGGGAGGGGCCTTTTTGGGGTGGGGAGGGGCCTTTTGGGGTGGGGAGGGCCTTGGGTGGGAGGCCTTTGGGGTGGGGAGGCCTTTTGGGGTGGGGAGGGGCAATTTTGGGGGTGGGGAGGGGCCTTTTAGGGTGGGGAGGGCCTTTGGGGTGGGGAGGGCCTTTGGGGTGGGGAGGGCCTTTAGGGTGGGGGAGGTGCCTTTGGGGTGGGGAGGGGCCCTTTAGGTGGGGAGGGCATTTTGGGGTGGGGAGGGGCCTTTTGAGGTGGGAGGGGCATTTTGAGGGGAGGGGCATTTTGGGGTGGGGAGGGGCCTTTTGAGGTGGGGAGGGGCATTTTTGAGGGGGAGGGGCATTTTTGGGGGTGGGGAGGGGCCTTTTATGGGTGGGGAGGGCCTTTTAAAGGGGAATAAATCCAATTTTTAGGGTGGGGAGGGGCTTTTTGGGGAGGGGCCTTTTGAGGGTGGGGAGGGCCTTGTTGTCCCTCATGTGTCCCTCCCCTCCCCAAAATTCCCACGCCCCTCCCCTCCTTTTAAGGCCTTTTAAAGGGAATAAATCCAATTTTTTTAGGGGTGGGGAGGGGCTTTTGGGGGTGGGGAGGGCGGGAAAACACGCGTGGGGGTGGGGAGGGTGGGGTCGTGTCCCTCCTATCCCCTCCCCACCCCAAGATTCCCACGCCCCTCCCCTCCTTTTAAGGCCTTTTAAAGGGGAATAAATCCAATTTTTTAGGGTGGGGAGGGGCCTTTTTGAGGGTGGGGAGGGGCGAGAAAACACGCGTGGGGGTGGGGAGGGGTCTGCCGTGAACCCTCCTCCTCCCTGAGTCCCCACGCCCTCCCCTCCTTTTAAGGCCTTTTAAAGGGAATAAATCCAATTTTTGTGGGGGGGTGGGGAGGGGCTTTTTGGAGTGGGGAGGGGCGGGAAAACACGCGTGGGGGTGGGGAGGGGTCTGGCTGAGTCCCTCGTGTCCCCTCCTCCCGAAATTCCACGCCCTCCCCTCCTTTTAAGGCCCTTTTAAAGGGGAATAAATCCAATTTTTTAGGGTGGGGAGGGGCTTTTGGAGTGGGGAGGGGCGAGAAAACACGTGGGGGTGGGGGAGGGGTCTGCGTCGTGTCCCCTCCCCCACCCCAAAATTCCCACGCCCCTCCCCTCCTTTTAAGGCCTTTTTAAAGGGGAATAAATCCGATTTTTTAGGGTGGGGAGGGGCTTTTGGAGTGGGGGAGGGGCGGGAAACACGCGTGGGGGGGAGGGTCTGCCTTCGAGTCCCTCCCCCACCCCAGATTCCACGCCCCTCCCCTCCTTTTAAGGCCTTTTTAAAGGGGAATAAATCCGATTTTTTAGGGGTGGGGGAGGGGCGCTTTTTGGAGTGGGGAGGGGCGGGAGGACACGTGGGGGTGGGGAGGGGCAGGGTCGTGTCCCTCCATGTCTCCTCCCCACCCAAAATTCCCACGCCCCTCCCCTCCTTTTAAGGCCTTTTTAAAGGGGAATAAATCCAATTTTTGGGGGGGTGGGGGAGGGGCTTTTGGGGTGGGGAGGGGCCTTTTGGGTGGGGAAGGGCCTTTTTGAGTGGGGAGGGGCGGAAAACACGCGTGGGGGAGGGGTCGTGTCCCTCTCATGTCCCCTCCCCACCCCAAAATTCCCACGCCCCTCCCCCTCCTTTAAGGCCTTTTTAAAGGGGAATAAATCCAATTTTTGGGGAGTGGGGAGGGGCTTTTGTGGGTGGGGAGAGGGCGGGAAAACACGCGTGGGGTGGGGAGGGGTCGTGTCCCTCCTGTCCCCTCCCCACCCCAAAATTCCCACGCCCTCCCCCTCCTTTTAAGGCCTTTTTAAAGGGGAATAAATCCAATTTTTTGGGGGTGGGGAGGGGCCTTTTGGGTGGGGAGGGGCGAGAAAACACGCGTGGGGAGGGGTCGTGTCCCTTCACGTCTCCTCCCCACCCCACGATTCCACGCCCCCCTCCTTTTAAGGCCTTTTTAAGGGGAATAAATCCGATTTTTTGGGGTGGGGAGGGGCTTTTTTGGGTGGGGAGGGGCCTTTTGGAGTGGGGAGGGGCGGGAAAACACGCGTGGGGAGGGGTCGTGTCCCTAACCCTCAACCCCTCCCTCCCCAATTCCCACGCCCTCCCCTCCTTTTAAGGCCTTTTAAAGGGGAATAAATCCGATTTTTTAGGGGTGGGGGAGGGGCCTTTTGGAGGTGGGGGAGGGGCGGGAAAACACGCGTGGGGGTGGGGAGGGGTCTGACCGTGTCCCCTCCCCTCCCCAAAATTCCCACGCCCTCCCTCTTTTAAGGCCCTTTTAAAGGGGAATAAATCCAATTTTTTGGGGGTGGGGGAGGGGCTTTTGAGTGGGGAGGGCCTTTGGGTGGGGGGCGGGAAAGCACGCGTGGGGAGAGGTGTCCGTGTCCCTCAACCCCTCCCTCCCCAATTCCCACGCCCTCCCCTCCTTTAAGGCCTTTTTAAAGGGGAATAAATCCAATTTTTTTAGGGTGGGGAGGGGCTTTGGGTGGGGAGGGGGCCTTTGGGTGGGGAGGGGCGGAACACGCGTGGGCCAGGGTCCGTCTCCTAAGCCTTCCCAGCCCTCCCCACCCCAAAATTCCCACGCCCTCCCCTCCTTTTAAGGCCCTTTTAAAGGGAATAAATCCGATTTTTTAGGGTGGGGAGGGGCGGGAAGGCACGGAGAGGTGGGGAGGGGTCTGATCGTGTCCTCCCCTCCCAAAATCCCACGTCCCTCCCAAATTCCCACGCCCTCCCCTCCTTTTAAGGCCCTTTTAAGGGGAATAAATCCAATTTTTAGGGTGGGGAGGGGCGGGAAGGACACGCGTGGGAGTGGGGGAGGGCAAGCCCACGGTTACCATGGCAACCGTCCCCACGGCAACCCCAGCGCCTCCCCCTCCCCCCGGGGAGCATTATGGGATGTCGCCATGGCTTCCCACACGGTGGGGGTTGGGAATCTTCATTTTTTTTAAGGATTTTAAGGGGAAAAAACCCCAAAAAATCCGAATTTTCGCCTCATTTTTCCCCACTTTTCCCACCCAAACCGCGGCGAGGAGGGGTAAAAAATAACCCTTTATATTTTTATGATTTTTTAAGGGTTTCTAGAGGCAGAAATAAAGGGAATTTACCGTGCTCGGGGTGGGGGCGTCCCTCCACCGGCACGCTGACGGTTCGCCGCAGCAGTTTGCTCCGGCAAGGTTCGCTCCGCCGGTCCCGGATGAGCAGGGGATGAATCTTTTTATTTTTATTATTTTTTTTTAAGGGGAAAAAAAGCGGAAAAAATTAGGGAAAAATCGGGAAAAAATCGGGGGTAAAATGGGGGTAAAATGGGAAAAAAATCAGAATAAAATGGGAAAAAAATCGGAATAAAATGGGGAAAAAATCGGAAAAAAATCAGAATAAAATGGGAAAAAAATTAGAATAAAATGGGGATAAAATGGGAATAAAATGGGAATAAAATGGGAAAAAAATCAGAATAAAATGGGAAAAAAATCGGAAAAAATCGGAAAAAATCGGGAAAAAATAAAATAATAAAAAATCCGATTTTTTAGGTAAATGGCTCGTGGAAAATCGAAAATAAATCGCGATTAATCGCCCTCTCACCTCCTCCTCATCGAGCATCAGCAGCTGATTGCCGGAGATGATGCAGAACCGGGGGTTCCAGGGGGGCCGCTCGTAAGGGGAGGGGGCGTAGGGCCCGCGGGCCAGGGGGGCTCCACGCACATCTAAAAAAGGGGTGCCGGGGGTCATCCCTGGATGGTTTTTTCCCCCAAAAACCCCCCCACCCAAAAAAAAATCGCGACCCCACCCCACTCAAAGCCCACCCATGGGTGCTGCCCACCGGCATCTCCCTCCTCTCTCTTCTCCCTCTCCCTCTCCCTCCTTCGGCAGCGGCGGCGCCGGCGCCACGCGCGTTGCTCGGGCAACCGCAGCCCACGGGGTTGGGTGGGTTTTTTTTGGGGGTTGGTGGGGGAAAGAAAACCCGCGTGGGTTTTTTTGGGGGTCGTGGAAAAAAATCGGGGTTTTTTCAGTTCCCCATAGGGTTGAATGGGTAGACCTGATGACCGAAATTCCCGGGGGGGGTTTGGGGGGGTTCGCAAATTTGTGGGGGTCCCCAAATTTCCACGCGGGTTTTGGGGGTCCTAAAGAACCCACGGGGACCCCTGGAGACCCCCCCAAAAACTCCTGGGTGCCCCCTTCAACACCCTTGGGTGCCCCCCACCCAAATGAATGGGTAGACCTGATGACCGAAAGATCAGGATGGGGTTTTGGGGGGGTTCCCAAATTTATGGGGCTTCCCAAATTTCTGGGGGGGTCCCCAAAACGGGGTTTGAGTTTTCGGGTGGGGGGAGGGTCCTAAAAACCCGCGTGGGTTTTTTTTGGGGGGTCGCGGAAAAAAAAATCGTGGTTTTTTCAGTCCCCCATAGGGTTGAATGGGTAGACCTGATGACAGAAAGATCAGAGAGTATTTTGGACGGGTTACCAATTTTATAGGGGTCCCCAAATTTCCACGCGGGTTTTGGGGGTCCCAAAAAACCCCCCCAACCCCACGACGTGACCGCCCCACGCGTGGGTCCCCCCCAAATCCCACCCCCCAAAACCCTCCCATAGGGTTGAATGGGTAGACCTGATGACAGAAAGATCAGGAGGGGGTTTGGGGGGGTTCGCGAATTTCTGGGGGTCCCCAAATTTCCACGCGGGTTTTGGGGGTCCCACACAACACCCCACGCCCCCCACCCACACTCCGAGACCCCCCCAAGGCCCCTTCGGAGACCCCCCCTCAAAAGCCTCCCATAGGGTTGAATGGGTAGACCTGATGACCGAAAGACCAGGAGGGGGTTTTGGAGGGGTTCGCGAATTTGTGGGGGTCCCCAAAATTTCCACGTGGGTTTTGGGGGTCCCAAAGAACGCCCCCAACCCCACGACGAGACCCCCCCACGCGTGGGTCCCCCCCAAAACCACCCACCCAAAACCACCCCTAAAACCCTCCCATAGGGTTGAATGGGTAGACCTGATGACAGAAAGATCAAGAGGGGTTTTGGGGGGGTTCCCGAATTTATGGAGGTCCCCAAATTTCCACGCGGGTTTTGGGGGTCCCAAAGAACGCCCCCAACCCCACGATCAGATCGAGACCCCTCCCCACGGGTGTTTCTCACCCACCCCCCAAAAGCCTCCCATAGGGTTGAATGGGTAGACCTGATGACCGAAAGACCAGGAGGGGTTTTGGGGGGGTTCGCGAATTTGTGGGGGTCTCCAAATTTCCACGCGAGTTTTGGGGGTCCTAAACAACCCCCTCAACCCCAGGACGAGACCGCCCCACGCGTGGGTCCCCCCCAAAACCCCCACCCAAGACCACCCCCAAAAGCCTCCCATAGGGTTGAATGGGTAGACCTGATGACCGAAAGACCAGGAGGGGTTTTGGGGGGGTTCCCAAATTTATGGGGGTCCCCAAATTTCCACGCGGGTTTTGGGGGTCCCAAACAACACCCCCAACCCCACGCACGAGACCGAGACCCCACGCATGGGTCCCCTGGGAGACCCCCCCTCAAAAGCCTCCCATAGGGTTGAATGGGTAGACCTGATGACCAAAAGACCAGGAGGGGTTTTGGGGGGGTTCCCAAATTTATGGGGGTTCCCAAATTTCCACGCGGGTTTTGGGGGTCCCAAAGAACGCCCCCAACCCCACGACGAGACCGCCACACGCGTGGGTCCCCCCCAAATCCCACCCCCCAAAACCCTCCCATTCAAATGAATGGGTAGACCTGATGACCGAAAGATCAGGGGGGGTTTTGGGGGGGTTCGCGAATTTGTGGGGGTCCCCAAATTTCCACGCGGGTTTTGGGGGTCCCAAAGAACCCACGGAGACCCCTGGGTGCCCCCCCAAAAACTCCTGGGTGCCCCCTTCAACACCCTTGGGTGCCCCCCACCCAACTGAATGGGTAGACCTGATGACCCTGGATTTTTTTGGGGGGGGTCCTCATAGATTTTTTGGGGGGTTCCCAAAATTCCTGGGGGTCCCAAAATTCCCACACGGATTCCTGGACACCCCTGGGACACCCCCAGACCCCTGGGTGCCCCCTGTATGAGTGTCCCCAAAATCTGGGTGAGTTCCTCCCCCATTCATTGAATGGGTAGACCTGATACCCAGATTTTGGGGGGGGGTTTTCCCAAAATCCCCCATTTTTGGGGGGTTTCCAAGATTCCCAAAATTCCTGGGGGTCCCAAAATTCCCACACGGATTCCTGGACACCCCTGGGACACCCCCAGACCCCCTGGGTGCCCCCCCAAAATTTGGGTGCCCCCCTAAAATCTGGGTGGTTCCTCCCCCCCATTCATTGAATGGGTAGACCTGATAGCCCAATTTTGGGGGGGGGTTCCCATAAATTTTCGGGGATTCCCAAAATTCCTGGGGGTCCCAAAATTCCCACAGGGATTCCTGGACACCCCTGGGACACCCCCAGACCCCCTGGGTGCCCCCCCAAAATTTGGGTGCCCCCCTAAAATCTGGGTGCTTCCTCCCCCCCATTCATTGAATGGGTAGACCTGATACCCAGATTTTGGGGGGGTTTTCCCAAAATCCCCCATTTTTGGGGGGTTCCCAAAATTCCTGGGGGTCCCAAAATTCCCACACGGATTCCTGGACACCCCTGGGACACCCCCAGACCCCCTGGGTGCCCCCCCAAAATTTGGGTGCCCCCCTAAATTGTGGGTGGTCTCACCCTATTCATTCAATGGGTAGACCTGATACCCGGGATTTTTCATTTTGGGGGGGGATCCCAAAATCCCGAATTTTTTGGGGGGGTTCCCAAAATTCCTGGGGGTCCCAAAATTCCCAAAAATATTTCTGAGGGTCTCTAAAAACCCCTGGAGCACCCTCAGACCCTCTGGGTGCCCCCCAGACCCCCTGGGTGTCCCCCAAAATTTGGGTGCCCCCCCAAAATGTGGGTGGTTCCTCCCCCCCCATTCATTGAATGGGTAGACCTGATAGCGTCTGGCACCAGTGACTCCCAGTTAGACCAGTAAGGCCCAGTTACGGCGGCCCTGGGCACCAGTAACGCCCAGTAACGGCTTCACCACATCCCAGTGACTCCCAGTAACGGCATCAGCACATCCCAGTAACTCCCAGTAACTCCCAGTAACGGCATCAGCACATCCCAGTGACTCCCAGTAACACCAGTAAGGCCCAGTTACGGCAGCCCTGGGCACCAGTAACGCCCAGTAACGACATCAACACATCCCAGTGACTCCCAGTAACGGCATCAGCACATCCCAGTGACTCCCAGTAACGGCATCAGCACATCCCAGTGACTCCCAGTGACTCCCAGTAACGGCATCAGCACATCCCAGTGACTCCCAGTAACGGCATCAGCACATCCCAGTGACTCCCAGTGACTCCCAGTAACGGCATCAGCACATCCCAGTGACTCCCAGTAACGGCATCAGCACATCCCAGTGACTCCCAGTGACTCCCAGTAACGGCATCAGCACATCCCAGTGACTCCCAGTTAGACCAGTAAGGCCCAGTTACGGCGGCCCTGGGCACCAGTAACTCCCAGTAACGGCATCAGCACATCCCAGTGACTCCCAGTAACGGCATCAGCACATCCCAGTGACTCCCAGTGACTCCCAGTAACGGCATCAGCACATCCCAGTGACTCCCAGTAGCACCAGTAACGCCCAGTAACGGCATCAGCACATCCCAGTGACTCCCAGTAGCACCAGTAACGCCCAGTAACGGCATCAGCACATCCCAGTAACTCCCAGTAATACCAGTAACTCCCAGTAAGGGCATCAGCACATCCCAGTAACTCCCAGTATGTCCCAGTATGTCCAGTAAGAGCCTCCCACAGTCCCAGTATGCCCAGTAAGAGCCGCCCCTGCTCCCAGTATGTCCCAGTAAGGGCCTCTCACAGTCCCAGTAACCCCAGTACCAATCCCAGTATCCCCAGTAAGAGCCTCCCCTGCTCCCAGTATGCCCAGTAAGAGCCATCCTCACTCCCAGTCTCCCCTCCCCCGCTCCCAGTATGGCCAGTAAGAGCCTCCCCCGCTCCCAGTATGGCCAGTAAGGGCCGCCCCCTCCCCCAGTAGCGCTCCCAGTATCCACCCCCTCATCCCAGTACCCCCAGTAAGAGCCTCCCCTGTTCCCAGTACCCCCAGTAACAGCATCCCCCGGCCCCAGTAAGAGCCGCCCCCTCTCCCAGTATGGCCAGTAAGGGCCGCCCCTGGCCCCAGTACCGCTCCCAGCATCCCCAGTAAGAGCCGCCCCCGCTCCCAGTACCCCCAGTCAAGGGCCGCCCCGCTCCCAGTATCCCCAATTAGAGCCTCCTCCGCTCCCAGTATGCCCAGTAAGAGCCGCCCCCGGCCCCAGTTTGAGCCTCCCCCGCTCCCAGTATGCCCATTAAGAGCATCCTCCGCTCCCAGTACCCCCAGTAACAGCACCCCCCGCTCCCAGTATGGCCAGTAAGAACCGCCCCCGGCCCCAGTTTGAGGCTCCCCCGCTCCCAGTACCCCCAGTAACGGCATCCCCCGCTCCCAGTACCGCTCCCAGTATCCCCAGTAAGAGCCGCCCCCGGCCCCAGTACCGCTCCCAGTATCCCCACTAGCAGCATCCCCCGCCCCCAGTGTTCCCAGTAAGGGCTGCCCCCGCTCCCAGTATCCCCAATTAGAGCATCCTCCGCTCCCAGTAACCCCAGTAACGGCATCTCCCTCTCCCAGTAGCGCTCCCAGTATCCACCCCCGCTCCCAGTACCCCCAGTAACGGCATCCCGCGCTCCCAGTATGGCCAGTAAGAGCCTCCCCACTCCCAGTAGCCAGAGCCGCCCTCGCTCCCAGTACCCCCAGTA